GACGATTCCTCCGCGAATGAGTATTATTCTGACGTCATACAAGGCATTTACGACGTCAATCCTCCGACTAATATATCTTAAACCGCTGTTCCCAGACTCGACCAAGACAGATGAGCCACCCAATAAAATCTTGCACGTACAACACACAACCACGAATATGCATCATTTCTCCACGTGGTGGAAGACAACGTTGTCAATTATTCCTGTCCCGACAAAAACAGCGAGCAGGACTCTGCAGAGGCCATTCCTTCACGAAGGTGAATGAACCGAACGTCATAGAAGGCGTAGTCGATGCTCCGGCTGACATATGTTGTGTTCCCAGTCTCGCCAAGACACATAAGCCATCCAAGACCACACGCGTATACACGCACACATATACAATAACAATAATAACAAAATCATAAATTCTAATTATCTGAAATAAACTATATAAATATTTTATCATCATTAATATTTATAAAAAAATATTTAATTAAATTTAGAATATTTAAATTTTTATTTATAGTTTCTTCTAAATTACTTTTTAGGTCTTCATCTACCGCTCCTCTCATTAATATTAATTATTTAATTTTTTTATATCATATTTGAATATTTTCTAAACACATAATCATGTCATCTTAAACGTTATATTCTTATTTTATCGTTTGTCAAAGTAATATCTAATTATTCATAAATAAAAATATTTTTTTATCTTTCATATTAACTCCAATCTTAATATTCTCATCGTAACATTTATATATTATTTCTTAATTGTCCAACATTTATATAAGTATTATCGATCTCATATTTTTTAATAATTTTTTTCTTTTAATTTTAAAGTATCTAATGATTACATAAGACTCCCTCACTATTTTAACAATTATATTTTTACTCTATGAATAATATGTTCATCGATCTTTTTCATCTTATTGAATAATTGATCTAAGATTTCTAAAGTTTTTTACTTTTGTCCATCCAATTTAACTATATTCTTTTATCTAATTCTAAAATCACTAAGATTATATTTTATATATTCAGTCTTAATCATATTTAATATAAGTCTTATCTCCATAGCTTAAGTTTATAATTAATTTTATTTAATATTTTACAATCAAGATAAATTTAATAGGTATATAACATATACTAAGAAGGTTTATGACATCACTAACTAATAAGTTTATATATTGATTAATGTAAAATTGTAAGGACTTTGTGAATAATTGATATAATCCTAAACTAATAAACAAACTCACTAGATATACTCTCTATAATTCTAACACTATATATATATGTATATATATATATACGTATATATATATATATATGTATATATATATATATATATATATATATATATGTATGTATATATATATATATATGTATATATATATATA